CTCTGTGTATTGCCTCCATCTTCTTTGGATGTTTCCTGCATCATTCAATATTTTGCCCATAGAATCTTTCAACATTGCAATTTGAGACCTAATTTTTTTTTTTTTTTTTTCAGTTCTTTCAGCTTGAGAAATGCTGAGTGTATTCTTCCCTTTGATTTTCTGACTCCAGGTCTTTGCACATTTCATTATAATAATTGACTTTGTCTTTTTGAGCTGCTCTTTGAAATTTTCTGTTTAGCTCTTTTATCTTGTCATTTCTTCCATTTGCTCTAGCTATTCTTCATTCAAAGGCAAGTTTCAGAGTCTCTTCTGATGTCCATTTTGGTCTTTTCTTCCTTTCCTGTCTTTTTAATGACCTTTTGCTTTCTTCATGGATGATGTTCTTGATGTCATCCCACAATTCCTCTGGTTTTCGGTCATTGGTGTTCAATCAATCAAATGTGTTCTTTAAATGGTCTCTAAATTCATGAGGGATATTCTCAAGGTCATATTTTGGCTCTTGTGGACTCATTTTAATTGTCTTCAACTTCAAGTTGAACTTGCATATGAGCAGTTGATGGTCTGCTCCACAATCAGCTCCTGGCCTTGTTCTGGCTGAAGATATTGAGCTTTTCCATCACCTCTTGCCACAGATGTAGTCAATCTGATTCCTGTGTACTCCATCTAGTGAAGTCCATGTGTACAGTCACCATTTGTGTTGTTGAAAAAAGGTATTTGCAATGAATTAGTCATTGGTCTTGCAAAATTCTATCATGCAATCTCCAAAGTTATTTCTATCATCAAGGCCAAATTTTCCAACTACTGGTGATTCTTCTTTGTTTCCAACTTTTGCATTCCAGTCACTAGTGATAATTAACACATCTTGATTGCATGTTCGGTCAATTTCAGACTGCAGAAGTTGATAAAAATCTTCAATTTCTTCATCTTCGGCTTTGGTGATTAGTGTGTAAATTTGAATAATAGTAGTAGTAACTGGTCTTTCTTGTAGGCATATGGATATTATCCTATCACTGGTAGCATTGTACTTCAGGACAGATCTTGAGACATTCTTTGTGATGATGAATGCCATATCATTCCTCTTCAAATTGTCATTCCCACCATAGTAGATCAATTCAAAATTGCCAAAACTGGTCCATTTCAGCTCACTAAAGCCTAGGATATCAATCTTTTTGCGTTCTATTTCGTTTTTGACAACTTCCAAATTTCCTAGATTCAGACTTTGTACATTCCATGTTCCGATTATTAATGGATGTTTGCAGCTGTTTCTCTTCAGTTTGAATCATGCTACATCATCAAATGGAGGTCCCAAAAGCTTTATTTTATCCATATCATTATGGTTGGTTCTACTCTTATGAGGCAGCTCTTTCACAGTCATATTTCGAGTGTCTTCTGATCTAAGGGGTTTGCCTTCTGGCACTGTGTTGGACAATGTTTCTGGGATGTTCATAAAGTTGTCCAGTAATATATCAGACAGTGTTTCTCTGCTATTCATAAGGTTTTCCCTGGCCAATTCTTTGAGAAGTGGATGCTCTCTTCCTTCTTCCACGTCTGTCTCAGTCTGTAATCTGCATTGAAACCTGTGGACCACGTGCAACCCTGCTAGCATTTGAAACACTGTGGCACAGACTTCAGCCTCACAGCAACATGCAAGTCACCACATTATGACAAACTGACAGACATGTTCATCTCCTTTAGCTGTTTGAAACCTCTCCTGCTGCCGTTGGCCCTGGTTTTCCCTCCTGCCTGCCTTTGGGTGGGGGCTGTCTCCCTCCCTTTCTACCTGGATCTTATAGGGCAGCATACAGGCACTTACAAGTAGTGACCGGGAACTACCTAAGGAGGACAGGCGTTCCCAACCCCTGGATAGCACTAATGATTAAGCACTCAACTTCTAATCAAAGGTTGGCAGTTTGAGTCCACCCAGCGGTGTCTTGGAATAAAGGCCTGGTTATCTACTTCCAAAAAATCAGCCACTGAAAACCCTATGGGGCACAGCAACTGGTTTGGTTTTATTGTGTTGGGAGTTCCTCTTTGTTCCTCTGGGTGAGGACTAGGCGTGAGGTGGGATGGTCTCCATGAAGTTCCTGGAAGAACAAGGGGTAGGGCTTTTTACCTGGAGGAAACACTTGATTGGGACAAACATTTTGTTATGGAAAGAGTTATCACCATCTCCTGACAGATTCAATGTGTGGTCAGAAGCAAGAGTGCAGAGAGGATTCTAGCAAGGCATATCTGCTGATAGGCATGAAAATGTGATTATTCCTTCTTTTTATTGAACACTAACTCTATGCCATGCATATACCAGCATCAAAAGATAATCTGAATTACAAACAAGAAAATCCCAGATAAAGCCTACTTGAAGTCAAAACAAATAAAAAGCTGAGGTAAATTTAAAAGCTAAAACACAAATTCCAAGCAGATGACAGAGGCCTTTAATAAGAGTTTTGTTTCTTCAGTTAGTTCAGTGGCTTGTTACTAAAAACCCACTGCTCTATTTATAGCATGGACCCACTTATAGAATATTTTTCCAAGCTATGCAAAATCCCCAATTAAAGTTAGTAGGGAGTGAGGAGAGGGGTGACTGTGGGTGGAAGGGCCAGTGTATGACAGGCAGAACGCCATTCCCTCACTACTCATTCTTAAGGACAGTGACACCAACAGTACCATTGACAGCCACAATCTAATGCTACAACTACTCAAGGGTTTGCACTGTCTCAAAGACATCTACTTAAATGCGGAAGAGAAATGCTCCTGTCTGGCTTCTTTATACCTCTCTAACAACTTGTCCTATTCTTTGCCTTTTCTTTCTTCTTTTCTCAATGGGTGTAAGTCATAAGCGATCACCCTGAATAGATAGTGAGTTTTTAAGCAAACATTTCAATAGCCGTTTGTGTTTTTCAGTGATAAGTATTTAATATATTGTCTCAGCAGAAGTGCTATCTAAGAAGATTCAACTACCTCTTTTTTGTTTTAAAATGTCTTAAGAATATTCCTTTTCAGAGATCTAAAATTAAAAAGGCTGAAATTAGTTTAGAAAGTATTGCTGAACTAAACATGCGTGTGTGTTTCTAACAGAAGCTCAGACACAGTAATGTACATGGAGGGACTATTCCATGCACACACATGTCAGAGGGCACAATTCCAATTGTATCCTAAAGCCAAAGGAATTAGAATTTTCAAGAGGAAGGAAAAGAATTTGCAAATCCAAGATCCATCCACAGGATGCAACAAATCAGGGAAGTCTGCCAAAAGTTAGGGAAATACTTTCTTAAGGCAAAAAATTAATGAGGGTAAAAAATAGAAAACAGGAAAGAGGAAAAAAAAATCGTAAAGGCTTTTTATGCTGCAAATTAGACTTGTCACAATTCAGTGATGGGAGAAAAACCAAGAGCCCTAGCAAAGTCCCTATATAATGCAATTTTTCACTCTAATGCTAAATATGCAGGTCTGAATAATTCTATCGCTCAGTGCAATTACAGCATGCAAATGACAGAGCCTTTTGCTTTCCAAAAACAGAAAGAGGGTAAACAGATCAAACTAACATGAATGTATATTTAATAGACACACATCTACTGTCCTTATGACAGATTAGAAAACAACAGATTAAAATAGGTTTCCCTTGTCACCTCTGACAAAAAAAGGTGGTCTAGTTCCAATAGTCACTTGGGCTACTGGCCCTTAAAGGAAACAATAGTTTACAAAAGGAGTGAATACACACTTTGCTCCTCGGCCCATTCTTTCCTTCCTGCATCCTTCATTTCCAATCTCTCCAAATTGCAAATGCCAACCGATTTGCTGGAGTGAAACCTCTAACTCTGCCCTCTTTTTCCTCCCCTCAACAGCAAGGGAATTTGGCATCAGAGTTCCCTCCCAGACCTTTTTGGAAAACACGTTCCTAAACCAAACCAGTTGGCGTCAATTCTAACTCACAGCAACTCCATGCGTGCAATGTTGAATTGTGCTCCCTAGGATTTTCAGGACCGTGATCTTTCAGAAGTATGTCACCAGGCCTTTCTCCCAAGGTGCCACTGGGTGGCTCTGAACTGTCAAATTTTTGGTTCATAGTCAAGCACTTAACCATTTTTCCACCCAGGACTCCTGGGAAACACTTTAGGACAGGGAATTATGGCATCATTTTCTACTGGCAGTCTGTTTCTGTAAATGTAGGTCTGTAACAGAGATAACGGTCTTCCAGTTTCTAAGTACAACACACAGGGAAAATCCACTTAACCTCCCACCAGCTCTCCCTATCTTTTTGTTTGGTCTGGTAAGCAGGATCAAGACTGCAGCTGGGCTGAGCTTGGCCAGGCTGCAGGGTGCCCCCTGCACCCAGAGCACAAACAAAAGCTACAGGCTGGTATCTCCTGTCATCATTTGCTTTCACAGCTGTCCACACAGAAATGAAACCAGTTAGCATCACTGAAAACAAAAGACAAAACACAGAATGTTCACAGGCAACTGTTTTCCCTTGCTCAGAGATAGTAATTCTCTTTGCTGTTACTTGGAGTGGAAAAGTACCGTCCGACCAACATTCATCAGAAGCTCTCTCAAGGCAAACACACTGAGCAGGATTTCTCTTTCACTGGATACAGTAATAGGGAGAGAAAAAGGGCCCAATCCTCCAGAACTAAGTCAACATACGTATAGGTATTTCTAAGCACAAGCATCAAGCAAACCACTTTCCGAGGTCTCCAGTTTGATGTGATACAGCGGTGTGAAGCATGTGCTAAAAATGGAAAGCAATGGAATTTGCAGACTCCTTACTTTATAATTACATCCTTGTACAAAAACCAGGTGGAAAGCATAAATGGTCCCACTCCACCTGTCCTTTTACAACAGAAGAAAGAAGGCAGAAGCGTGCTTACCTTGAAGTTGTGTGTCTTTTCATAGTTGAAGTGGTTGTCGTTGTGCGTGAGGGCAGCCCTTCGAACCAGGGAGGAGATCTGTGAACAGGCAAAGAGTCTGAGAGGGGGCCAAAGAAAGCTGCCTTTGACTCCCACCTTCACCCCTAATGCCACAGCCAGAAGCTCCTGGCGCTTCCTGCTTGGTTTAGACTTCCGAACCACAGCACACTTTTTCTCATTTTCCAGCCACAGTTCCTGGGAGAACATCCTCCCTGGATGCCAGAGCTTTCTGGTCTCCTCCTGCGGAGACTAGGAAGCTCGGTATTGCTGTCAGGTTTTTGAACTGCGGCTAATGTTAGGCAGCAGATTTGAGGCAGCTGTGCCCTGTCTGTGAAGGCCTCCGGCATGTGACCTGGAAGGGCTGGGTTGAGTGATGGAAGGGGCTCTGTATCTGAATAAGGACGGGCCTGTTTTGTGCTATTTCTTGGTTCGACACGTGCCTGGAACAATAGCGCACATTCATGTGCACAGCAACCCTCAGAAGCCGCAGCCCCTGCAGATTGGAGGACACAGAGCAGGCAGGCTTCTTTATCCTGCCACAGCACTTTGCAAAGAGAGACCTCTCCGACTGGCTAGCACATTTCACACACACACACATACACACACACACACACGTGCGCGCACATGATCCTCTGATGTTCTAAGCCTGATGCTGCTTTCAATTATTCTGGGGCTTTGACCCCATCCTGAATTGAACTCAAGCAGATTAAATCCTTTAAACTTTGATGACTGTTTAATCTTATAGGGAAAAAGCCTGCCTCTCCTTTTGTTACATGCCCTAGAACCTGAAAGCATAAATCATTGCCCTCGAATAGATTCTGACTCACAGTGACGCTGCAGGACAGAGTAGAACTGCCCCACAGGATTTCCAAGGCTTTAAATCTTTATGGAAGCAAACTGCCTCATTTTCTCCTGATGGTGGTTTTGAAACGCTGACCTTTCAATTAGCAGCTTTATCCACTGTGCCACCAAGTCCCCCGTTGCGACTGAATCAATTCTGACTCATAGAGCACCCCATTGGGTTTCCAAGGTGGTAAATCTTTACAGAAGTAGATTGCCCCATCTTCCTTCTGAGGAGCTGCTAGTGGGTTTGAACCACCAACCTTCTGGTTAGCAGTCAAATGCCTTAGGCACTGAGCCACCAGAGCTCCTTTATTCTCATACATGCATTACATTAGAGTAATGTGCATGCCAAATCGGGCACTGAAGAAGACCAGAGCATTTCAGCAGTCTGAGTTCCACAGCTTCAAAATAAGAGCAGGACGTCTAGCTCCAGGATACCCCCAGTCTCTCTTCTATCCTCTTATTAAAAACCCCATTAAAAACACAGACCAGACAACATTCCTTAATGAAAACCAAAATATCTAGTTCCTTTTCTTTTAAATCACACATCCTCAATGTCCGTTCAAGTCTATAAAAATACCTCTCTTAAAAGCATCATCTCGTTGATGATCTCCCATGGGACCATCAGAGTTTTGGCCCCAGATCTCCCCATTAATAGAAGTAAGGAGATAATGATGTCTTGGGAGTATTCCTGCTCTGCGGGAATAATTTAACACTGCTAATGCCAGACAGTGAAATCAATGCATTTGAAACCAGAAAGCAAGAGGAATGTGGATGGTGGGACACTTCCATAGATGGGTAGTCCGTGCATTTCATACCATCCTCCACTTAGACATGGCCCTACATTCTAGCTCCTACAAGCAGCTCTGTGGATAGGAACAAAATGATAAATCATTTCCTTGTGTAATTCTTTCTGGCAATCACCATCATTCCAGCTTGGTTCAGAAGTCCATCTTCCTATTTCATCCTCCTATTGCCTTCAATAATAATAACAGCCAATTTTTATATTAAGCTACTATGCACAATAACTTTTGTCATGCCATTATTCAGAATGTGTATAAAACATGTATAAAACCAATCACTGTCAAGTTGATTCTGACTCATGGCAACCCCATGTATGGCAAAGTAGAACTATGCTCCATAGGGTTTTTTCCATTGATTTTTCAGAAGTCGATTGCCAGGCCTTTCTGAGTGGACTCAAACTGCCAACTTTTTGGTTAGCACCCAAGCACATTAACCATTTGTACCACCCAGGGACTTCAGTGCATGTATATAAGGAACAAAGTTTTTACCCTCATTTTTTTGGATGAAGAGAGCAAGGCACCAGAGGTAAAATAATTTGCCCCTCTCCCATAAAAAAGGGGGACCAGGTTTGCTGGTCTGATAGAGCCTGGTGGAACCCCTGAAACTATGGCCCCTAGCTGCCCTTCAGGTCTGGAATTGAACCCACACCTGTGGCTTCCAGCCAAACAAAAGACAGGCATATGAGTTGAACATTTACCTGAGGTAGATACACTCCTTGGAGATATCAATCATAGGAGAAAGAAGGGCTGTTTATGCACAGGGAGACAGCTCAGGGGGCAGGAGTGCATGGAGGGAAGGACACAGGGAAGAGGTAACTATCAGGAGGGAGGAGAGTTGTTGCATTATGGTAAGTTGTAGTCAATATCATGAGACAAAGTGTATGTGAACTGTTGTATGGAAAGTGAATTTGTTCTGTAAATTTTCACCCAAATCACAATAAAAAAATAAAAAAAGAAAGAAAAATTGCTCATAGTCAGCATCATAAGTAAAAAAAAAAATAAATAAATAAATAATAAAATAATTTTCCCAAGGACATGCATGTAGCTGGTTTAAGAGTCAGTGCCAGGACTAGAACCCAAGGATATGCATGTGGCTGTTTAAGAGTCAGTGCCAGGACTATAACCCAAGGATATGCATGTGGCTGTTTAAGAGTCAGTGCCAGGACTAGAACCCAACAATCTGTATCCTGTGCTCCATGCTCCTAAACATGATGCTATGCTGCCTTTCTTAGGAAGCCCCACGTGTATCACGTCCTGCCAAACGTTTTATCCAAATTATTGGTCAAGTCTGCCTCTCCTTACTCATCATGCCCCACAATAACTCACACCCTCCTTTTCTCTCCAATCCACCCTATACACAGCTGCACAACGATTTTCCTCATCCAGAGACTATTTACTTCCACATCTTCTCAGAAAGCTTCAATGATTCTCCATTGGCATTGCAGGCTCTTCATGAACTGGTCTCAAACTACCCAGCTCACCTTATTTGCCTACTCACTTCCACAAATTCTACAAAAACTAACAAAGTAACTAACTAACTAAAACAGAAAAAAAAAAAACTTCTTTGACATAGTCAACTTTTCACCTAGTTCTATAGAATTCTAGCTATAGAATATAGCTCGCTATATTCTTTATAATACTCCAGCATCATTTCAACATGTCTGCCTTTTTCACCAACATTCATTTTCTAATTCAAAGGTCATCCTCTCCAAAAGGACTTCTCCAAACTCCCCAGTGGAGCAAACTCTGAAATACCATAATGTTTCATTTAGATTTTTTTCTTATTGCTTGTATTGTTTTCTGCTTTGTATTACAGTGATTTATAACATGTTATTCCCCTTCCAGGTCAAGAACTCATTGTGACATGCTTTGTGCCTAATTCACCTTTGTTTTCTCCTACAAGAGTGTTTAATAATAAAATCTCTTGCCATAGCAAAAAAACCAAACCCTCTGCCATCAAGCCAATTGTGACACATAGACAGAGACTCCCAGTGGGTTTCCAAGGCTGTAGATCTTTATGGAAGTAGATTGCCTCAACTTTTTCCTGTGGAGCAATTGCTGAGTTTGAACCACTGACCTTCTAGTTAGCAGCCACATGCCTTACCCACCACACCACCAGAGCTTGCCATAGTAGTAACCAAAAACCAAACCAAACTCACTGCTATCAAGTTGGGTCCAACTCATAGCGACCCCTTCTTGGGTTTTCGAGGCAGTATCTCTACGGAAGTAGATTGTTCAATCTTCCTTCCAAGGAGTGGCTGGTGGGTTTGAACAACCAGCCATCTGGTTAGGAGTCAAATGCTTTAGGCACTACACCATCAGAGCTCCTGGATAAATATAAACTGACAGAAACCTTTACATGTACAAAGTCAGGACTGTGGAGAAAGGTGTACAAAGATGACTGCATGGTGTGCAGTTTCCTGCCCCATCCTATGATCACCCATTTCATGGTCAATTGCCAAGGACTGAAACTTTGGAGTGAGCTCTTCACAGACTCTTTAGGTCTCCTTCCAATTGCTCAATCCTGAAGGACAAGTGCCACTGACAGGGATTAAGTGAAGACAAGGCAGGGCTTTGAAACAACTTCCAATCCTCAGCCTAAAGGCAAAAATAACAAAAGGAGGGATGGGATAAGGGTCCCTTCCCAAATCTTTCCTGCTAACAAATCAGGAGGGTCTTTTGGATAACAAGTCATTTTCTGTGAGAAGGAAGTCTGTGTTCTAGACTAGCCTAATTATATGAGCACACAGTTTTGGAATCTGATAAAATCACTCTTTAAATGGAAAGTGGGCTAAAAGGGGGACATTCTCCTTTGGTATAAGGGTGGTTGAAGATAAAGAGATTAAATATTTTCTCTTGTGTATGTGCCTTTACTTATAACAAGTAATTTTTATTTCCATTTGCAACAGTGATTTCTCTTTTTCAGATATTTGCTCAATAGCATTTACCCAAATACAAGACACATTCAGACATGTGAAGGAATCATACACTGTTCCCTTAAGATGCTTCTTTACATGGGACTGTAAAGAACTGTAAAGTGTTGCCATTTGAGAGAGCATTATTGTGAATAGTGTGGATGACCTCACATCACCCTCTTATTAAGGGAAAAATCACTACAAAAATCTCTTGGTAAGAAATTCCCTCTTAACTAACCAATCACACAGAATTCTTCTTTAAGCTCCTCACAGACAGAGCCTTGGTTTTTTTTTTTTTTTTTTTTTTATAGCCTTCACAGTGTCTAACACAGTGTTCTCTCTGCACAGTGCAGATTTAATAATTTTGCTGACAGAATTTTTCTAGCCAAAAATTTTATCTGTTTTTATCTATACATGCATTAGATGAAGCACCTTTCTGTGCTTCTGTGTGCTCAGTTGAAATCAAAGATTCTCAAACTCTGGCCTGCCGTCTTGGACTAGATAACTCTTTGTTGTAGGGGGCTGGTGTGCATTGCAGGATGTTTAGCAGCGTCCCTGGCCTCTTCTCAGTAGATGCCAGTAACATCCCTCCCCCTCCCCTAAGTTGTGACAGACAACCAAAAATACTCCAAACCAAAATTACTCCAGACACTGCCAAATGTCCCTTGGGAGGCAAAACTTGCTTCCAGTTGAGAATAACTG